CTCGCTCGCTCTCTCCCCGTCTCTCTCTCACTCGCTCGCTCCCTCCCTGTCTCTCGCTTGCTCTCTCCTCCCGTCTCTCGCTTGCTCTCTCCTCCCGTCTCTCGCTCGCTCGCTCCTCCCGTCTCTCGCTCGCTCTTTCCTTGTCTCTTGCTCGCTCTCTCCTGTCTCTGTCTTGCTCTCTCGCTTGCTCTCTCCTCCCATCTCTGGCTTGCGCTCTCCCCATCTCTCTCTCTCTCTCTCTCTCACACGTCTCACTGGCTGTCTCCTCCTGTCTCTCTCTCTCTCCCTGCTCCCTGGGGCCCCGTCTCCCCCCGTCACTCTCTCTCCCCACGTCCCTCTCTTTCTGCGCCCCCATCTCTCTCTCTCTCTTTTCCCCTGCGCCATATCTTACTCACTCTGTCTCCCCCGTCTCTCGCTCAATCTCCCCCATCTCTCTCTCTCTCTTGCACTGTCCTTCCATATTTCTCTCTCGCTCTCCGCTCCCCCTCTCCCTGTCTCTCGCAAGTTCTCCCCGCTCCCCTGTTTCTCTGTTTCCCTCATTTCTCTCTCTCTCCCCGTCTCTCTCTCTCTCTCCGTGCTGCACGTTTCTTTCTCTCTCTCTCTCTTCCCAGTCTCTTGCTTGCCCTCTCTCCAGTCTCTCTCTCGTTCTCTTCCCCGATCACTTGCTCACTTGTGCTCTCCCTGGTCGCTCGCTCATTCTACCCCACTTCCCTGTCTCTCTTTCGCTCTACCACGCCCCCCCCCCCCTCTCTCTCTCTCTCTCTCTCTCTCTCTCTCTCTCTCTCTTGCCCCCACCCCGGTCTCTTTCTCTCGCTCTCCCCGTTCCCCCAACGTCTCTCTCTCTCACACTCAGCCCCCATCTCCCTCTCTTGCTGTCCCTCCCCAGCTTTCTCGTTCTCCCCCTCCCATCTCTTTCTCACACTCCCATTTCTCTCTCTCACCCTGTGTCACTGCCTCCCCCCTGTCTCTCCCTCTCTCTCTCTCTCTCTCCTGCCCCCTCTCTCCCTCCGTCTCTCTCTCTCTTTGTCTCCCCCACTTTCTCTCCCCCTCTCTCTTCTACCCCCCCAGTC